AACCCCAGGCAGCTGAAGGGAGCGTGCGAACTTAACCACTATGCCACTGGGCTGGCCCCCTTAACTGCCACTTTTTTTTTTTTTTTTTTTTGGTGAGGAAGGTAAGCCCTGGGCTAACATCTGTGCCCACCTTCCTGTACTTTATATGTGGGATGCCTGCCACAGCATGGCTTGATAAGCAGTATGTAGGTCTGCGCCTGGGATCCAAACCTGTGAACCCTGGGCCGCTGAAGTGGAGCGCACGAACTCAACCACTACGCCACCAGGCCAGCCCCTTAACTGCTGTATTTTTATATCAAGTTTTGGTTTTTCTTCTATGTAGCCATCATCTAGTGAATTTTACAATATAAAGTTTTTTGTTCTATAATAGCGAAAGATATAGTTGAACCTCCTTTTCTTGCCTCTTATTAAGTATAATCTGCCTTATATCCAAATAATCTAAATTTTGATAAGATAGAAAGAAGAGGGGAGGGAAATATAACTGGTCCATAACAAAATGACATGTTAATAAAGCCTGCTTCCGGTGTTCAAGGTAGCTGACTATTTATATACTGAGTCTCGCTGTGTTATATTTTGGCTGCTGTTGTAACAAGTAAACATATGTATCATAAATGCCTGCGGTTACTTTTTTTGGTTTTGTTGTTTTATAAGTCAGTCACCTTTGGCTTTTATATTCTTTTGTTTGCTGTTTCTCTTCAGTAGTCATCCAGCTTTTACTAATAATTATTTCTGTGCACAGCTGTATATAGGCTTTCTTTTTTATTTCTATAGGAGTTTCTTTAAAAATATCTATACATAGGAAAAATATACAGAAATCACAATAGTTTTGTTAGGATTTAGGATCATGGGTGTCTGCATTCCTACTTATTTTTAATGTTTTTAAAAAAATAATATAAATAAAAATTCATTAAATGGTATGACAGCTAAAGCAAATGCCAAATGGTCTAGTTTTTTGTAAAATCACATTAAGTCATAGAAGGTTATCAAATTCAAGCAACTGAGATTAAAGTTAGTATCATTCAACCATTCTTAAGAACCTTAAAAATTAGTTAATAAACATCTGTTATAACCAGGCAAAATCAACGAGGTGGAATTAAGAAATCAGTAGACTTGCTCAATTACGCTTTAATGATGTAGAAAAACATCATTAAGGACATGGTGCTAAACATCTTAGAGGACAGTAATCAAAATTACTTTTGAAAAGGTGGGCCTGTCTTCAAGAAGGAATTTTTAAAAATTAACTACATCTTTAAAAAAAAAAACTTGCTTTTAAATGTAGTTGAATACCCTGGAATCCTGGATTGGGAAAAACCTGCTATGCTATTAGATTAACTGTGTTATATTTTATGCTGGGGGGCAGTTTTTTTAGGACAGATTATAAAGAAGTGTATTATAATTGTCTCCCTCTTTAATATCCAATTCAGTATTTTTTCTAAAATAACTAGTGATTTAAATAAAACTAGAGTTTCTGCAAATTGCTCAATATTTTACATTTTTTGCATTGTTGGAAAAAATTCATTGTAGGTAATTTCTAACAGCTTATTACATTTATATCAGTGGTTTTTGTTTGATAGAAACTCGTGAACTATTTTATATTTTTGTCGAGAGAAGAAGTAGGAATACAGTTACCTCTTTGTAAGTTATTTTAGGCAAATTTTAAATTTCACCTTAGATATTTCCCTCTGCCCAGCAGTTTCCTTTATCACCAGTTCCTTGGTGTTTGTTCACAGAAGCAAATTAATTTTAATATTAACTTAAGCAAAATATGTTTAGGAAGATAAGTCTGCTACAGAAGTAGCCATTATATATTTCAAAGCTAAATGCAAATATTTCTAAGATGCATGCTGTTTTGGGTAATCCATATTACATCTCTGCTTGATTAGCAAGGTTAATTATGATTCAGTTGCTCTGAGTTTAACCTTGACTGACATAATTGCAGTTTAAGGCATTTAATCATAATTTATTAGATAGGGGTATCTTTTAGATTGTGTTATCGCATATATTACTGCTGACTGGTTTTAAATTGCTGATGAAACAGCTGCAATGATTATTTTGTTCTTGTAGATTTTATACATGAAACTAGAAGTTAAAAGCTCCAAGAAACTCATCATGTGTATTTTTAAACTAGTACAAATAAAAACTGTGTTTGCCTCTAGCAGCTTAAAGTATATTCTTATGTCTTATAGTATTCATCACAGTATTACGCATGAGTTTGTTAAAAGTTCTCCATTCTGTTCATGTCTAAGTTGAAAGCCTAATTAATGTAAATGTGCATTTTTGTGCCTTTTATTCATGGTTATCTCATGAAGATACCTTTATACTGGATAAACTACTAACCAGTGCTTATTGCAAGTCTATGGTGGGTGAGGCACTTTACATAGATTTTAATTTAAGCCTTATAAAAGCTCTATCAACTAATCATCATTATTTCCATTTTACTATGAGGATGTTGAAGTTCAAAAAAGTTAAGAATCTTGCTTATGTCATGTAAGCAAGTTAGTGGAAGTTAATTAAATTTGAACCCAAGTCTGACTCCAGAGCCCATGTGTGTTTCACTGTGCCATACTTTTTCGTCATAGTTGATCAGTTTTCTGGACTGTACAAGTCATAGAATGTTAACCTCCTTTTCAGCAAACCTGATAAGTGAAAATCTAGATTTGCCAATATACAAATTTGGGATATTCTTTACTCTTGTGAGATGATTTACCTTGTTCTTTAAATGACACAACGTGACATTAAAAATATTATTTGCTTTTCCAAAATTCAGTTTTTCACTCAATATTTTAAGAATACCTGTGTTGTGAGATTTTATCAAGTGAGGGAAACATGTGTTTTGATATTCTGTATTCAGCACATTCTCATGAACGCCTACTTTATGCCATGTTTTAGGTGTTAGAGATATAAGTGGCCTACAAAAACAGACATGGTTTCTGCTGGCTCTGGAACTAGTATTTCTGGGTTGCAAATCTTGCTTACGCCTTTACCTCTTAATAACTGTATGATCTTAGCAAGTTCCTTAGCCCTCTAAGTCTTTGTTTTTTAGCCCTCTAAGTCTTTGTTTTTTAGCCCTCTAAGTCTTTGAGAAGGAAAGAATAATAGTACCTTTCTTGGGTTGTCATGAGGATTAATTGAGATAATGCGTGTTTGTAGCATGGTACCTGGCATGTAATAAAACAATAAATGTTACCTTTTGTTATCCTCTTAAAAATAGTACTTGAAGTGTAAGTCATTTTCTTTAAAAAAATAACTGAACAAGCTTAATCAGTATCATCATCTTTAGTCTGGGATGTAGTCCTCTTTCTTGTATTATTTGGAAAGTCTCATAAGTGTTTTCTTTCATTTATTCTGCTCATTGCTGTATATGTTTTAGAAATACAGTACACTATAAGCTATGTTTTTATTTTTCTCATTTTAAGGACAGTGCTAGAATCATACAAGAGTATATATGTTTAGCTCATGGCAAGTATAGCAACCTATTTTTAGTACTTTCTGAAAAAGAAGATAAATAGTAACTTTGTGATTTATTCTTTGGAGTAATATTTACTTATGAGGAAAGATTTGAGGAAGAAATCCTTCAGTGATTGCAAACAAAAACATTAGGACAGCTTCACTCTGACCTGTAAGTGGCATTTTATATGATTTCTTGAGTTTTTGAATGGAAAGTATTTGTAAATATTTTTAGAAAGTAGTAAAATTAAAAACTAGATATTTTCTGTACACTTACAGCACAATATTTAGGCAGTTGAGTATGTAAATCGAAGTGCAAATAATTTTGAGTTTAAAATAGTACATTTATGACAGGTTACACAAGAGTAATCAATCTAGTCAAATTTCCTTCTAGATTAGTAAATCGTTTTAGGATATTATGATTTATCAAAAGGTTGAGGAGGAATTAATTGCATTCAGGTATGATTTTTTAGAGATGTACATAAAAATAAATCAAAGATTTCATTAAGTAGTGGTTTCCATTAATAATTTTGTTACAATAGTTAAATTCGCTTTTTGCGAATTGAGGCAAAAACCTTACTTATAATACTTCTAAGGAGAATTGTTCAACTATATCTCCTGTGAAAAGATATATCAGGGCTATTTTTATTGTCTGTAATGAAATCCTGTTAGAGAAAACCTTGCTTTGATGTTAAATCACTACCATTTTTTTCATTACCAAAGTCCAAATGCCAAGGAAAAGTCAACTCAGAAGCTGGGAAGGTAAATCAACGGTTCAATTATAATGACTGCTAAAATAGATTTTACTATTTTTTTCTGTTTCATAGTTCCTTAAATCCTGATTAAGCCATTTTAAAGTACATAAGAGACAATTTGATGTTTTAGTAGAAACATTTTTTTCTTGTTATGCTTAAAAGAAGATTGTGTGGTTGATGTGGAGTTTTTTTGTTTTTAATGTGTATTTTTTAAAGGACTTTTAGATTTTAAAATATTTCTTTTAGTACGTACAGCCAACATTTCTATTACCTTAGATGTTGTAATTGGAAGTCAGTTATAATTCTGAGAATGAATATTAGATTTGCTGCTAATTTATTCTAAGTTTTTATGTGTAAGCAAACTTGTGGCATATATGCTAGTTTATGTAACCTCAGTCAAGATTTTCAGAAATCTTTTGTTGAAGTTTATTAAAATTAAGATTTAGTTTCCAAATTTAATGGTTAAATTTTAAAAGAGCAAATTTAAGGTGTAATTTGTTCTTAGAAGCCCAAGAAAATAAGTGGCATAGAAATGATTTAGCTTTGCTTTGGGAGGAAAAAAATGCATTCACATTTAAGGCTAAGTTTCTGGATTTTATCATTGAGATAGCCATATGTAAAATTTAATTTTTAAAAATAACTTCTTGTTTAGCATGAAGAAATTAACACAACTCAGTGAGTCTGAGATTTAGCATCACAGGAAGTACTGAAAAGAATCAGTAAAGTTCTTTCATAAGAATAATGTTTAGTGATGCTCATTTAATATTTTTGAGCTTGAAAAATGGAAATTTAGAGTGATTCTGCAAATGAACTCCTTTGTTATTCTAATACCACGTATCTGTTGAGACTAAGTTATCCATGCTGTGTTGGAGCTCAGCCTGCAAAGAAATGAATTTGCTGATTTTTGTCACTTGCAAGACCAGCCAAGGTTACTGTAGCCTGCCAGTTAATACATCAATTCATAATAATATTGTATGAAATCATCAAGTGGTACTGTTTGTTTCAAAAGTGACACATGTGACTTTTTATTATAATTATTGATACAAGCAAAGAAGCTAGTAGTGCTTTATTTTTTTTTATTATCATCAAGCAGTTTTCTAGGAATTTTCAGCAATATATCAATCCAGCTATAATTCTAGTATGAAATACACAAACTATGAATATGCTTTTGGTGCCTACCATTAAAAATTAGATCAATAGCTTTAATACCTTCTTACAGTCTCATTTGGTTTTACTATAGCTCTGTTGTAGTAGATCTGCACATTTATTTTGCTCTCAGTGGTTAGTTTTACCAGTTGAGTTTCTTTGTAGATTTTTGCCATAAGTAGAAAGGATTTTAAATCTTATAGCCTCGTCAAATATTTCATTACCATTTACTTAAATGAATGATAGATAATGTACATGCTTGTTCATTGTGCAAGTACCCAAGACATTCTGATTGAGAAAGACAGCTTAAGGAAAAATAAACAAATAGCAAAAGCACTCAGTCTTTATTTACAATATATAGAAGATTGCTGTTTTCATTTTAAGTTTCATTTTAAGAGTCTGATCAGCAGGAACACCCTAGAGAAGCACATCTTGAGCGATAGAATTTACATACCGTTAGCTCACAGTAATTGATTAGCAGCAGGGCTCTGAGTACAGACCTAGCTGGGCACGTTATTTGGGATGCCTTTGTTGCTGTGGTTTTCCGAAGCTTGCTGGCTGCATGCTTGTTGCCTTTGTTCGTGACACAGGTCATTACTTGATAAAATGAAGTGCATCGCTGTGAACAATTGACCCTTTGGAACAATCCAGGCTGGTCAACAGTCTAAAACCACACTTTAAGGCCATCATTATAGCCTCAAACTTAAGAGTTTCCAAGGTACAGACAAAGGTGTTGTCTTCCTTTAGTACAAGTCGAGTGCCATTTTCAGATTTTATGAAGTATTTAAATTGAATGATATTTGATGATATTGAAAACTCCTCTGGAAATCCATCCAGCCTGCTTTTGGACACCAGGACAATGCGAGATTTTATTTTTGATATGAAATCAGGAGCATTGCAGAAGATTCTCAGTCCTTGTGAGCGATCGTGGTTATCTGTTATTTCCAAGAAAGTAGTCTCTCTGGGTGTTAGCTGTTCTTTTTCCCACCTGGATTTCACTTCCTCCGCCAGTCCCTTGAGCTGAAAGAATTCTGCTTCTTGTGCAAGAAGTTGATTTTCTCGAAACCCTTCGGGCAGTAGAAGTTCTCCATTTCGTAGGAAGTTTAGGACATGCCTGAAGAGGAGCCCATCCCTGTCTATGAAATAATGACCATCGGCATCAAACGGGCAGAGAATTTTTCCATTTACTATACCTTCAAGGAAAGTGTCTGGGTACTTGGTCAGTGTTTGCTTTTGAGTAATGTATAAATATCCACCAACGTTGAGAGTCATCAGTGTGGATTTGCAGTTCTTTCCTTGGTCAGCATCTTCCAGGCTGTTGTGTTTCCCTTCATACTCCTTTTCTTTTTCTCTTCTGTTTATTTTACGCTCCATTTTTGACAATGCTATTTCAGCTTGTTCTTCTTGGCTTTGAGATTTTTAAAAAAGAAACACTACCACACAAACACGCCTTTATTCAGCCCCAGCCTGGTGATGGAATGGAAATGCTGGCAGCATCGCCTGCGCTGTCAGCTCAGTTTTGCAGTAGGTGGCGTATCAGCTATGTATGCAGGAGCTTTCTGGAGTAAGATGGAAAAGAGATAATTTGCATTTAACTGTATCAGGGAAGGAATTTATTTTGAAAAGATTTTGATGTATATTCTTTGAAGTAATAAAAGTTACTTAGAATAAATTTAATTTCCTCTTGACAGTTAAGCAGTTACAAATGTTTAATTCTCCAGCTAAGTAGGAATTTTTATCCATTTCTAAATGTCTTTTAAGTTATCAGGCAGGCTTAATATTGAATAATATGTTATCTTTTGGAGAATAATGTATATTGAATTAGTATCATTTTTTCAAGTAAATCATAAATGGCAATCCTAAAGAGAAAGGAACTAGGTATATAGAATTTTCTCTCCTATAAAAAGTCCCACATTCCACAGTGGTGTAGTCATTTTAGAGACCCAAATGAGAGTATTTAAACCTGTTATTTGTGACATCGACTTGAATTTAATTGGATTTGCATGTGATTCTGACTTTGGGATCTTTAGCAAGGGAGAAGAAATTTTCTTAACGTCCTTTAACAAAGGGTTCTGTTATTTTATTTTATTTGTTTTTTGACCCTAAAGGTAAAAAATTAAATATACAGGCTCTGCAATAGTCATATCCTTTTTTTTGGTTAGGATTTCCAATGGAACATTCATAAGCTTGTTTCACCCTAAACCTGCTTCAGTGCTGAACAAAGACTTGGCCTGCTATAGAACATACTCTCGCTGTGTGTGTGTGTGTGTGTGTGTGTGTGCACGCGCGCGCGCGTGCTTGCACTTGAGAAGATAAAAGATAGATTCAAAATACCTACTATAAAATAGTGTCATGGGAAAGTTATTTATTTATTTATTTTTCCAGTGTTCACAAAGGGTGAGAGAAAGGACCGAAGCCTAAGGTCTTTTTTTTTTTTTTAACTTGGGAGCTGGAACAGTGTGAAGGTGGTGTTTTTCCCCTTTCTTTTTTTTCTCCTTCCTCTGTAACTTGCCTTCCAAAGTATTTTAGGGATCTGAGCTTTCATGTCTAGAATTTAAAGGCCCAGTGGTGAGAAGTGTGAACGTTGTCCCCAGTACACTATTGTTTGACTGGTCTATTTCCTAAATTATTCTGAGGAACTCCATTGTTTTCAGAATCAGACTTTTGATTTTATATTAAATTGATTTATATTTCTGTTACATTAAAGATATTTTTAAATTATTCAACTTCATGTCGATAGAAATATTGGAGCAGGTTCTTCTAAAAATGCTTACCTTGTATTTTCTCTAAACGATGTTAGATTTTCTTCAGATATAAAAAAATTATATCCTTAATTATACCATATTTTGAATTTAACATTTGTGTCATTGAGATTATCAAAAGTCCATTGAAATTAAACTACAAATCTAAGGCGTAACATTTTTAGGGCTGAGTTTTTGCTTAGAGACCATGAAATTCTACCTTCTTATTTTGCCAAAGATAAAATTGCATTCTAGAGAGTTTTTAGTGTTTTATCTAGACTTTTACAACTTGTTAATGATAAGCCAACACTTGGACTACAGCTTTCTCTCAGTACTGCATCCTTTAAGATGACTTTACTCTCACTGCACATGAGTAGCACTGTGTAACAGCAAAATCAGTAAAGTCATAACAATTTCATGTATAGGTATACTCCCGTTTTAATGAACTTCATGGGACATCAGAATCCGTGGAACATAACTGTAGTATATTGGTGGAGACTGTGCTAGAATTTTCTTTGTGTGTTTAAATAAAGTGATGTAGTTGAATACTATGTAATACTTGGTCTGCTTCTTTATACCCTGTGTGGCCCATTTGTAGATGCCTTCATAAGGAGGCCTTGAAACTAGTGCTGCTAGAGGATGGGCTTCCACGGGGCAGGCAGGTGAGGCAGGACTGCTAGAAGTTGGACCACTGACCTCCTCAGCACTCCAGGGCTACCTTACACTTGCTAACTCACTCATTTCTGGTTTCTTTCTTTTTTTATTTTATTTTTTTGGCGAGAAAGATTGGCCCTCAGCTAACATCTGTTGCCAATCTTCCTCTTTTTGCCTAGGAAGATTGGCTCTGAGCTAACATCTGTGCCCATCTTCCTCTGTTTTGTGTGTGGGATGCCACCACAGCATGGCTTGATGACTGGTACGTCGGTCCATGCCTGGGATTCGAACCTGTGAACCCTGGGCTGCCAAAGTGGAGCGTGCAAACTTAACTGCTGCTTAACCAGGGCTGGCCCCTGCTGCCTGTTTTTTAAAACTACTGATGCATGTCTTTGTTTCTGCTGGCTTGCCTTGACAGACTCTGATCCATCCCATCATGTATCTCTAACCCTTGATTGCATTTTCTCACTCTAAACTTCACTCTGGTGTTCTTGGCTTCTGCAAACCTGACATGTGTGATTTGTTTGTGGCCTGGCAACAATAGTGTAACAGAAGCCTTGTCTTAGTGCCTGACTAGAGGCTGGTGTGAATCCATAGGACTTTTCTTTTGTGTCTTGTTGCCCCCAAATTGCAGTCTTAAAAAAGAAAAATGGCACCCAGTAGGCCCCACCTTATCCCCATTACTGCACATTATCCCCCATTAAAGCAAGATGATTGCAGTTTACAGAAATTGCAGGAGTTTGTTGATCATTGCCGCTGTTATGGTACACGTGCCCCTTAGGAGAACGCCAAGTTGTCTTCTTTTTAGTCTGTTCTGAGCTTATATTTATTTGCTTGGTGAGCAGAGCTAGAGGGTGGGGAGAGCTTGTGCTATGTAGTGTCTGTCAGTCCACACAACCCTAAAACTGTAAAAATGGTGCTTCAGTACCTATGCCAAGGGAAACATCCATGGTGTATGTGATTACATTTCTCTGCCTCACTGCAGGTACAGACTGGAATTAATCAGTGAGGGCTTAACCCACACGTCAAAGGTTAGCTCAGTTAGATCCACTTGACCACTAGACTTGAAGCTTTCATCTGCTTTGCAGGCAGAAAGATATATATTTTAAAAGGGGAGGGACCCTGTTTTCTACTCAGTACCTTAGCCCTTTATTAGAGTTAGATCATCTCTGCCTTAGATATCTGTAATCACCCATATAAAAGAGCCCTTTAGCCAACTTGGAGGATTTAAACAATGCCATTGTCAGATTCTTCGTATGAGTATATCCATTGGTTAGGCCCAATGCCTAAGCAAATTCTAGCAAAACTTTCCACTATATGGTGATGTTAATCTTCCACTATCTGCATTAGGCAGAACTTATTCCAGGCTACTGGGAGGAATTCCCAAATTATCTACCAACTCCTGATGGGAAATGAGGCCATTGTCATTACCATAATTGACACAGGGCATTATCATAATATATGCTTGCTTTGTATGCCAGAGATATTCCCATGCCATGGGAGGAAATGGAAACTTACCAAGAGGGTGTCTCTCCTGGTTGGAAGACAGAAGATTCGATAATTCCCCTAGACTCAACAGATCACTCTTCTGTGAAATACAGACATTGCTTTTCAAGGAAAGGGGATGGTCTTAGGAACTGCTTTTAATAAGAACACTGTACTTCTGTCTCCACATTCTCCACCTTTACCAAATCTTTTTGATTGTTTTTACCTGCCTGCTTTTATGTCTGTCTTTTAAAAAGATTATGTCCCATTACGTTAGAAAGACAGTAAAAGCAACTACAGCTAGAAAAGCAGCTGTCAATTTTTACTTAACCCTGGCACTGTGTCTTTGCCCTGGACTTCCCCACATTTTTTTCAAGCCTATTGATCTGTGTCTTTTTTCCTCACTTAAATTTGATACCGATCTACCTGACTCTGTGATAATATCTTTATCTGTTCATTTTCCAAAATCTGGCTAACCCTTGGCCATCTGACTTTTATGTCCTCTAATTCATCTCTGCCTTGACCTTGCTGTGTCTTTTGAAAGCTGAGCTTCTCCTTTTTTATGTGTGGCTTGCTGCTTCTTCATAGCCTCCTATTAATAGCATTGAATGTGAGAAACATTCATTTTGATATTCAGCTGTAATTATATTACTTGAGCCTCTTGTTGTGTGTTAAAAAATAAAAATGAATTGCACAGTGTAATGTAGTAACATACTTTGAGAATCAAGAATTTTTGTGTGTTAATCTAATTCTGTTTGAATGTCAAAACTTTTGTTTTGAAATATAAATGTCATCTGCAGTAGATATTGTCTGGTACTGGGATTGTGCTAACACAAGTACTACCTCACCTACCTTATGGAGCTGATTGACCACAGTATCTCTCACCAGCTCGGCAGAGTACTTGAATCCTCCCAGGACGTGTTGGATATAACCTCTCACGGGAAAGTGATGTGGATATGTAATTCCAGTAAGATGAATACACTTGTAAATGTTTTGCAGTGTTAAACTGAGTCTTCAGAGAAGCCCAGGAAACTTTGCTACATTAGCAAATTTTGTGGAGTGTAGAAAAGAATAAAGCGCTATCTATCAAAAGGACCACAAATAAAAAAGACAGACTAAATGAGAAGTTAGGTAAAATTCCATTCCACATTTCTTTGCTTTTCATTACAGCGGTAATCTTGAAAACAATTTGCAAATCTTATTAATTCATATTTTAAATGTAATTTGGCAGATGAGTGTTTCAGGGAAACCTGTGTTTTATAATTCTGTAAGCAGAAGTCATTTAAGTTTTTTAAAACGAGTTTTTCTTTTTTGAAGTGTAGCCTCTGCATTATTATTCACTGGAAAATTTTTTTGTAACCAGATGAGCAGAGCACTTTTGTGAGCCATCACGTAAACACTGAAGTTATATTATTGTATAGAACTCATTTTTATAGTGCTATTTGGCAAAATGGAATTTTACCTTCTCTTTGGGAAGGAGATGTTTTAAGTTAGTTAATAACCATTATCTACAATCTCAAAATGAGGGACGTGACTTTAAAACCTTGTAAAGGTAATATTGTTATGAAATCAGTGACCAAAAGGGTCTCTGCTCCAATGCTGGCTTCTACCACTGTTGCTTCTGTGAACCTCTTCTCTTCAGATCCTATTGTGTCTTTAGTGATGAGATGGTGTGGAGGACAGAGAAGGAGGCCTGAACAGCAGGACAGGATATGATGGTTCATAGGAGCAAATACAGTTTCTTACTTGCAGAGAGTAGAGTGATTGTAAATCAGGGATGGCGAACTCTATCATATTGCACATTTTTTTCACATTTAACATTTCTGAAATCAGACTATGTCTTAAAATCATTGGGTTGTAAAAATTTCATGGCAGTATTTTGTCTTTCTTAGTGGCACATAAAATAATGCCAAATATTACAATTGATGGTATCTTAGATTTAATGAAGTATTTGAACAGTTCAGTGAGCTGTTACCCATATACCACCAGAAAATAAAATTAACAGGGATACATGGAGAGGAAAAGAAGGTGAAGGTTGGAGAAGAGAGAGAGAGAGAGAGAGACAAGGAGGGGAGGGAGGGAAGTGAGGGAGAGAGAGAGACAAGGAGGGGAGGGAGGGAAGTGAGGGAGAGACAGAGGTAGGGGGAAGGAAAAAAAGTGGGGGGAAATATGCAGAGAGAGAAATATCATGGTAGCACTTCTCAACCCTGGCTGCTGCATGTTAGACTTATCTAGCGAGGTTGTAAAAATATCACTAGCTCTTGCCCACACAATGTATTTGGAGTAGAATTTCTGGCCCCAGTATTTTTTTAAAAAGCTCCCAGGTGATTCTAATGATCAAGCAGAGTTGAAGAACCACCATATTAAGGAAATTGATGAGCCCAGGAAAGGGAGCTTATTTCAAAGGAGTTCTTAATGATGATGACATAATTTCTACCCTGTAGTTGTGAGGGTCACTTACTAGTAAAGTAGCTTGAAAAGCATGAAGAACTAAACTAGCGTATGGTATTACTACTGTTACTAATTAAACATGATGAAGAGAACAGGAGTTATTGAGGATGAAATTAATGAAACGAATCATATTCAGTAGATTTAAAAATTTGTGCCATCAGATTGTCTATAAGTATTTCACTAATATTGTATCCGCCAGCTATATTGCAGTCTTTCTAGGCACAGGGATCTGCATTTTTCTTCCTTTGTACCCCTCATCATATCTAGCACAATGTTTGGCACTGTTTAACTGTGATATAGCACTATAGTAAAAGTATTTTCCCCAGGATACTTAATCTTTTCTGGAAGAATTTGTTTTTCTATCCATTTAATCACTTTTGCTGTTGTTTTTGAATTCTCTCTGATTTCAAGTGCAGCAGCCAAAGCTGGCCTGCGCCCTTTGATGAAGGTTTAACTAAAACAAACTATTATAGTACAGTAGTCTCCCTTATCCATAGTTTTGCTTTCCACGATTTGTTACCTATGGTCAGCCTCGGTCTGAAAATGTTAACTGGAACATTCCAGAAACAAACAATTCATAGGTTTTAAATTGCCCACCATTCTGAGTAGCATGATGAATTCTCAAGCCTTCCTGCTCCATCCCGCCTGGGCCGTGAATCATCCCTTTGTCCAGCACATCTATGCTGTGTAAGCTACTTGCTACCCATTAGTCACTTAGTAGCCGTCTTGGTTATCAGATGGACTGTTGAGGTATCCCAGTGCTTTTGTTCAAGTAACCCTTATTTTACTTAGTAATTGCTTCAAAGCACAAAGGTAGTGATGCTGGCAATTCTGATATGCCAAAGAGAAGCCTTAAAGTGCTTCCTTTAAGTGAAAAGCTAAAAATTCTCCACTGAATAAATAAAGAAAAAAAATCGTAGGCTGAGAGTGCTAAGATCTATGGTAATTTTTATTACAATATATTGTTATAATTTTTCTATTTTATCATTAGTTATTGCTGTTAATCTCTTACTGTGTCTAATTTATAAATTAAACTCTATCATAGATATGTATATATAGGAAAAACCATAGTATATATAGTATTTGGTACTATCTGTGGTTTGGGGCATCCACTGGGGTTCTTGGAACAAATTCCCTGCAGATAAGGCGACTACTGTACTATGATTTTCCTGCTCCTTTTCATTTATTGTTACAACATAGCGTTATTTGATGTTTTTAATAAAGCTGTATTTTACTTCTGGGTTTTATTCACCCTCTTCTTCTTGAAAGTAGTTTTGAGATTAGGGATTATATCTGTTTATACATCATCACAACATAATGCCCACATCTGTATTTAAGAGGTTTTTATATTGATAAATTATATATGTGATGTAACAAGCAAAAAGGAGACTATAGTGTGAAAATGTAGGAGGAATGATAACTTGTGAACTTGCTTTGTAAACATTAACACATACAAATGTTTGTTTTTAAAATGCTCATTCACTAATTAATTCATTGATCAAAAGTTTGTTATGGCGGGGCCGCCCGGTGGCACAGCAGTTAGGCGCGCGCACTCTGCTGCGGCGACCCGGGGTTTGCAGGTTCAGATCCCGGGTGTGCACCCACGTACCGCTTGTTAAGCCATGCTGTGGTGGCGTCCCATATAAAGTAGAGGAAGATGGGCACGGATGTTAGCCCAGGGCCAGTCTTCCTCAAGAAAAAAGGGGAGGATTGGCATCAGATGTTAGCTCAGGGCTAGTCCTCCTCACACACACACAAAAAAAGTTTGTTATGGCTTCTGTGGCTCATAGAACAATCCAAACTCCTTTGCACATTTAAGGCCTCCACTTTCGTTTCTACTTCTGGGCAACCAGTCTTATTATTCACAGATACTCTTTGATCAGCATTACAGCGTATCTTATGTAGGAATATACATACAGCCTTCTTTCTCCCAGTCCATAGAGGAAAAGTTGAAGAGCAGTACCATGAGTAAGGAAGTTGAGATGTGTTCTAAATCCTAAGTCTAGTCCTCAAATTATGATTTCAGTATTTGGTTTAAAATTGGGAATTCCCAGCACATTAGACATATTTGTAATTTGAATATCATTATAAGAAAACATATTACACACAGACAATTTTGGGGAGTACTTATATGATTGCTCATTTGTTTTGAGGTAAATGAATGCTAACTCTGTAGGTTTACTGAAATCTGAGCATGATCTTTTATTCCTAATATTCCTGAAGATTAAATAGAGATCAGGACATCAATTCGCAAATTTGAATAGAATTACGTATCTCCTTCTTAATAATATAGGGCTTATAAGTTTGCCTAACTGGTTTGTTAAGATGCCAAGTAGCTTGTATTAATAGGCCTTAACTGTGAACCATAGAGAAAATACTGCCAGGAAGAAATTTTAAATGAGAAGAATGGAGACTAGTAGGAATATTAAAAATGGTTTACCTTTTAAATGCACCCGCTCTGTGGAAATATTATTTCTTCATTCCTTTTCCAGAGAGGATAGACACAGATGTGATGTAAGTAAGAATCAGGAAAGTAGCTTCAAAGTCTCATGGATCAGTGCAAAATCTTTGTTGTAGCCCGCTTGTTTGTGTTTTAACTTCAGTTGCAAGTGCTCTTAAAGGCCACCACATTGAACTGGATCCAGAGTAGTCTTGTGGAAATGAATACCTATAACTTCCTGATGCCTAACATCTTCCTTACATACCTGCTCTCATTACTTACATGCCAATGCTAATAAGCACCCCTCCTGCTTACTTATTACTTTAACTTGTTCAAACTAGGCATGCCCTTAACTTGTAAAAAGTGCCAGTCAGTTATTTCTCTTGAGTTCTTCAACGCAGAGTATATCTCAAGTTGAGATAAAGAGTAGAAAGTCCAGTTTATAAGTTTGTATATTTTCACGTTTTAGCCAGCGTCTCAACATTTTGTTGTTCTGAGAAACAGTTTTTCTCTAATTTATAACTCAAAGAAAATTTAATTATATCTAGATCTTTAAAAAGTATTAGAGCAAATGAAGTAAACACTAATGAAATCATAAAACATTCCCAATTGGAAGGGAAGGCCAGTTTTTATTTTGTTTTAGTAAAAGAGAGGTAGAAGAGATCTCAGAGATTTCAGTGACTTCATTATATAGATGCTGAGGCCCAGAAATGTGAAGTAATTTCTCCAAAATAAGACTGCTTAGTGGCAAAATCAGAAGAACAACTCTTGGATTCTTTTCATAGGATGTGCTTTGTGTACTTAATCTTTAAAATTTTTTCTGAAACTAGGTGGCAGGATATAGATAAATTAAAATACTATAACCAAAGTTGTGTGTTCATACTTAATAAGATTCTTTTGGTTACAAGTGGCAGAAATCAATAAGTAAACCAATCTAGAAAAAAAATGGGGGGGGGGAGGAGGAGAAAATTTAGAAAGGATCCTAGAGTATTTCCCAGAATCCAAAAAAGAGTTGAACAAATGGCCAGGCTTAGGGAAAGATTGGAACTAAGCCATTCCAAGGCTTTTAGTTGGATGAACTTATGTGGCTTCTCTTCAGAGTGCTGTTTCATGACCATGTCTGTCCTTCCAGTGATTCTGGTGTGGGTCCCTTAGTTTAAAATTCCAAATGAGAGAGAGAAAGAGAGAGAGAGGACATGAAAGCCATTGCTGACGCTGTCTCCCCGCCACCTTCAGTGCCCTTCTGCCTCATCGCCTGGTGTAAATCCTACCCATTTTTCAAAGTCCACCACAAACATTGCTTTCGCTATCAAAGCTCTTCTCGATCCACAGCTAGACATAATCTCTTTGTGTGTGTTAATCCCAATACTCTGTGTATGTCTCTGTCTTATAACCCTTATAAACCTTAAGTTGTGCTTTGTACTGTAAAATCCCACAGCCCATTTGGAAAGACCAGTAGTCAGTTAGATTCAAAGGTAGGGAGTCATAAAATAGTATCAATATGGATTCCTACTGCCTTAAACATTTTGTCTTAAAACTTATAAAGGTACATTGTTATCAATGTACATGTAGGACAAGGCTTTTGCTTTGAGTGTAGGATGCTGATTGAGCCATCTGCTTTCTCTTTCTTGTGAAAAACCTATAATTTAGTTTAGATTTTCAATTTTGGTTTCTTTAAAAAGGAGCAAGAATTTAGATGCTGTGAAACAATATGAATGCAGAATCCTTCTAGGCTTTTATGTTTCTTCTAATCTCCAGTTGTCTCTCCAATACCTAATTTGACAGTAGTTTTTTTTTGCTGAGGAAGATTCACCCTGAGCTAACATCTATTGCCAGTCTTCCTCTATTTTGTATGTGGGTCACCGCCACAGCATGACCGCCGACGAGTGGTATAGGTCTGTGCCCAGGGAACTAAAGCTGCCGAAGCGGAGTGTGCCGAACTTAACCACTAGGCCATGGGGCCAGCCCTGACAGTTTTTTTAGCAACTTACCTTTATATCAAGTCTTACCAAAACATTAAACCTAGTTTTCATAGGTTTAACTCCTATGTTAAACCTCCGTCCTCCATACTTATAATTAATGGGATTATGCAATATATTATCAAATTGCATAATTACTAACAAAGTAAAACTAGCATAAACAAGTTCTAGCATGGTTTGAGCAGAAGTGTGTGGGAGTACTAGAGATTAACCTACTACCCACTAGCATATAGCAAGCTGTAGGCATCTGTCACTGTATTTAAAAGAGGAGAATTGAGAGCCTTGGTAATCTAGAAGGGGTTAAGTGGAGATCTGTCAAAAGTGTTTCTAGTGTATTAAAATGATTTATATGCCTGTCTTATCATCCTGCTAGACCAGCAGCTCTCAAAATGTGATCTGGAAACCACTGGGTAGAGGGATCCCTGAGGTCCTTTCAAGGGGTCTGTAAAATCAAAACTATTTTCTTTCTTTCTTTTTTTTTTTTTCTGAGGAAGATCAGCCCTGAGCTAACATCTGCCAATCCTCCTCTTTTTGCTGAGGAAGACTGGCTCTGGGCTAACATCCATGCCCATCTTCCTCCACTTTATATGGCACGCCACCACAGCATGGCTTGACAAGCAGTGCGTCGGTGCGCCCCCGGGATCCTAACCCGCGAACCCTGGGCCGCTGCAGTGGAGCATGCACACTTAACCGCTTGCGCCGCTGGGCCGGCCCCAAAACTGTTTTCATAATAATACCAAGTCTTTTTGCCTTTCTCATTCTGATTTTCTAAAACATTTCTCAGTTTTAGTTTCTAATATGGTAAATATCAATAGCTAAAACCCGCATAAATACCAGACTGTGCTGCTTGAGGGCAGGAGCCATGTTTCATTTATCTTTGTTATTCCTGATGTCTTCTTGCATTATCTTTTACATAAAAGGTACTTAGTAAATATTTGATAAATGGTATGAGCAAAAAAAAGGATTATTTTTCAAGTATTTATGGTCTTTCCAACTGGTCCAAAAAAGTAGTTTTAAGTAAGGGTTCCTGTATTAATGAATGTGATCTATAATTAACAGCAGTGGTGTGCAAGTGGGTGCTTTCAAATGCTTTAAAAATAGAATGTAATATTTAATACCTTTCCTTGAAAGCTTAAGCAATGTTTTGAAGAAGAAAAGGAGCGTGGTTTAGTGGAGAGAAAATGAAAACATGTTCCTGTGAGGCTTCAATAAGTGTGCAAAGGCTTTAAATCTTGCTTAGGGGCTGTATCATAAGTAAATTGGCTTTTCAAAATTTCTTTAAGAGAAGGGGGAACAAGTGAACAGAGATGTGGGGTTATTTAAGAGAACCAACTGGTAGAAAAATTCATTGCTGTTGATTAAGACTTTTCCTTTTACTTGAGAAGCATTTGAAAGCTATTTTAGGCTTGAAAAAAGGATATGATGGACAGAAAATTATGGTTTGGGGAAGTGAATTTTATTGCTTTATTTGAGTAACCTTGATTGAAGAATAGTGATGCGCGTGGTGACCAAGTTGAAATGGACAGGTGCTTGGCTGCTGCTTACCCTTTCAGGTGTTACATGGAGACCTTGACAGCAGAAAACTTGAACTAAAAAATAAATTCAGCTTGCCCACTGGAGTAGGTACTGCCAAATAAGTGGGGGACATTCACAGGTGGTGTTAAAAGGTAACTCTTTTAGTATTCAGCATTAGTAAACACATGGATATATAACTAAATTATTATCAGAGATGGTATTCTAGATTTATTTTGTTTTTAAAAAAGGATTAATTTATTTTTCAATAGCAGACTTTTCTCATGTATTTAAGGTACTTTATACATGAAAATTTCCCAAATCTTGCTATTGTTATGACAAGTATTTTTCTAGATAGAACTCTCAGCTTCAGTGGAGAGGCAAACTTGAATATAAGATTTGCTTTTACTATAAGAAAATTCAAATTTTAGTCTAAATCTTACTAAATTCACTAATGAGAGGAAATTATTTTTAGATGTTTAAACTTAAATTTAATATAAATATTTATGGCCTTTTAATTCTTTCCTTCCTGGTATATTTTGGTATAAGGTAAGCATGCTTCTCATCATTGCTCTTTCCAGTCATCTGGTAGCCTATACTTGAGATTTGTTGCATATTTGCATTGAGAGACCCTTGAACTATTGAATTACACAGTGTGTTCACAGTTGGTACTTAGGGGCTACAATAAGGAGTCCTCTAGGTTTTGGAGATAACATCAAGAAAGGTCACCATAAGAAAGATTTTCTAGTGTAAATCATGTAGGCATGGTTCTATCTGCACTCTTACGTTTTGGTCAGTTTATCTGTCTCCCCCAGTGAACTGTATGCTTCTTGAAGATAGTACTGTATCTTAATCATCATTGATTCAACAATGCCTAGATGGTACCCTTCACATAGTAGGCATTTAGTTAATGTTAGTGGAATGCATGAAGTCATTCACCCTGAAGTGATGAATCGTAAATGCATTGCTGATGAGCCAGAGGAATCCCTGAATCTCTTCTCAAAACCTGGGTGAATTCTCACGGCAATATGACTGAACCATAACTATTCCTAACCATAGTCGTATATTTCCAGACTTTAGTAAAGCTGGTGCCACCGTGGACAGTCGTATATGTATTATCAAATAAGATAAAGTCTGTAAAGTGACTTTACCACAATGCTTGGTGCCTGGTAGGCACGCAGTAGGTGCTAGCTTTTGTTTCCCTTTTCTGTTTCTGTTGAATTTTGTGTCAGAGTCACTGTAAGAATTCTTACTAATGGTAGGAAAAATTGCCCTTCTGTTTGGATAAATATTCATAGGAGTTAAAGCTCTAATTTGGACACACCCAAATTAATAATTCTCCTGGAAAATGGAAGTGAGAGCAGCTGGCAGGCAGAACTGCTGGTACACAGTATAACTTAAACAATAACCTGCCCAGTTTCACAGTATTTTCTAGGCTAGCTGTTCTAGTCACAGTGTATTCTAGAATTTTATTTGCGTGTGTGTGTGTGTGTGATTTAGTGGTTTAGATTAGCTGTGTTTTCAGAAGTTAATTCTCTGTCAAAGATGATATAGCCTCCACACACTTCAAATTTTTTAAATTTGTTTTTATGCTCTTTTAAGCCACTCTCTTTAGAAAGAGCTAAGTGTACAAAAGCTATTGTTGGCAAGGGGCTGCGGCAGCTCAATAAACAAACCTGACAGGAGCCCAGTTTTTTACTAGCCGAGAATAAGGTTCGTTCTTTATTTATTCTGACCAAGGATACTACTATAAACTTAAAAGTATTCCTTTTGTTTCCTTGATTTTTTTTACTATATTTGATTGTAATCATTATTACTGTGGTTAGTGTGTCAAAATACAATCTTGAAAATGATACATGTTATCTCTGAATACATTTGTTTATTTTTTTTCTTTCCATTCAAGATAAGCTTTCATTGGAAGGAATAGTGGTACAAAGAGCTGAATGCCGACCTGCTGCCAGTGAAAACTACATGAGATTAAAGAGGTTGGTGTTTTTTAACTTTAAAATAATACCTGATATTTCTTTTTTGGGATCGAAATACATATATTAGATTGCCTGTTGATTGCATGAAAATTAAGGTTATTGTTGCAAATATTTTCTTCAAAGGCTGTTTGATTTTAAAACCAAGTAAGAACAAACTTGCAGTTATAAAATAAATAAGTCCCGGGGATATATTGTACAGCATGGTATAGTTAATTATGCTGTATTGCATATTTGAAAGTTGCTAAGAGGATAGATCTTAAAAGTTCTGATCACAAGAAAAAAAGTGTTGTAACTATGTATGGTGACAAATGTTAAGTAGACTTATTGTGGTGATCATTTCTCAGTGTAAATAATTATTGAATTATTATGTTGTACACCTGAAACTAATATATGTCAATTATACTTCAATTAAAAAAGAATCCAAGTAAAAGTTTCTTTAGCAAGGAAACTTTCACAACTTGGGCTGTTTATTTGGGATATTTTAAGCTACTGTGTTAATATAACCTGAAATCAAACTTTTAAAACTTCTTTTTCTAGTTGCCCTTATAAATCTTGATTCAGTGATGTTAGTACTATTTTATTTTCAGAGACTATAATTTTCCCATAATGAATATGTAACTAAAATACTGTACTGTATAAAGCAAGTATAGTTGCTAGAATATCATCCTTTCCTCTTGATGTACGGAGAACTTGTTATAAACTTATTACCTTGTTAGAGAGTTTGCTTCAGGGTTCCCCCTCTCCCACTTTTATATGTGGTTAACATTTTGTAATTAATATTTACAGATGATTGCAAATTCTTGATACTCCAAATTTTATGACTTTCAAAGAGTCAACAATTTTTTAAACCCTGAAAAATGTATTATACTTGTTTTATAGTTTATATTGAATGTATTTCAACCCCATGTAGTTTAGAATTAGAAGTTCGTTCCTTCATTCAGCACTTAATGTGTGAAATAGTGAACAAAACAGCAAAAATCTTTGCCTTGGTAGAGCTGACATTGTAACAGAATGTAGCTACACAGAACTGGAAGTTGAGAACACACTGTTCAAGTGGTAGTAGCAGCCTCTGCATATCAGTGTTCTCATCTATAAAAGAGGCTGGTTGAGCTAGATCATCTCTAAATTTCACATCATCTTTTTAATTTTTCCCCTTTTCTCAATTAGATTAGAGTCTGTCTTTCGGGAATGAAACAAAGAGATTGATTTTCTTGTCCAATAATTCCTCTAATTTAAATGCGTCCCCAGGGCAAGTAAAAGGATGACAATCAAAAATTTTATAACAGAAAATAACTTTGAAACACAGGCAGAAGATGTTTCTCTCTTTGTCTATAAAGTTTATTGCATAATACAAGTCTTTTTGAAGATTTATCTTCTTCAAATAACTACTGAAATTGGAAAATACAAAATCTGGTTACTGAGATGCTTGCCAAGATCTTTTTCTGTGGTCTTAATTTTCTTTAAAGGTTTCTGAAGATTTCTGATGATGAGATCAGGCAAGTCACCTACTGTGTTTATGAAATGGCTGCTTTTTTCTTACCAAAAAAGAGGTTAAAATTGTTTAGCCTTTGGAGTATGCTAAAAGACCAGCCATTACATATTTCAGTTACTTAAGTGACTTGAAGAAACAGGGTGATTCAGGAAATGATATTATGTGAGTTTCATAAAATAGATGCTACATGATGTAAGTCTTGAAGGCTGAGATTTTTTTGACTATGTGGAAAAAGACAGGAGTAAGAACACTCTAAAGAGAGAGACGTGCAGGTACAAAGACTTGGGGAAGACATTAGGGACCTGCGTGTAGTTCTGCAAGCCTGGAATGCAGGATTTATTTGAGGCAGAACAGACAGAAGCTCCAGCCCAGACCTCTCTTTTGAACTCCCAACTTATATATCCAAAAGCCTGGTTGAATGTCCAACAGACGTTTCAGATATGTCAAAAACCGAACTCCCAGTCTTTCCCCCAAAACCTGCTCCACCAGTAAGTCTTTCTTATGTGAGCTACTGCCAACTCTGTCTTCCCATTTTCTCAGTCCAAAAACCTTGGTTACATTCTTGACTCTTCTCTCACACTCCACATCCAATGTGTCAGAAAAATCTTATTGACCCATACCTTCAAAATATTACACATCTACGTCTGACCTTTTCTCACCACCCACATGATCTGCCATTATTTCTCACCTGGATCACTGCAGCAGCCTCCTAGCAGAGTTCCTCCTTCCACCCTTGCCCCACTGTAGTCTGTTGTTAGCACAGTGGCCAGAGAAGTTCTTTTAAAATCTGTCAAATCATGGCATTCCTCTGCTCGCATGTCACTAGCTATGCTTCCTGTATTACTCGGAATAAAATCCAAGTCCTTATAGTTGTCTACAGGGGGCCTACATGATCCTCCTACAACTGCCTTCCTGTTCTCCCCATCCTCATCTCCTTCTTCCCTCCCCCTCATTCACTCTGCCCCAAACATAATGATATCCTAACAGTTCACGAGCACTCCAGGCACACTTCCATATTAGGACCTTTGCACTGGATAGTCTTTTCTGCCTGGAGCATGCTTTCTCCAGATAATTGCATGGCTCACCTCCTCACCTTTGCCAAGTCTCTTCTCAAAATCTACTTTTTCAATAAGGCCAACTGTGACCACCCTACTTCCTTCTATACTTGTTTTTTCTTCATAGCATATATCACCTTCTAATATACTATGTAATTTGCTTACCTATATTCATTGCCAACTTTGCCCTGGTGCAGGTTAAGCTCCCATGGTTTGTTTCTTGCTTTGTTTTTTTTTTTGCATGTGCCTATTTTTTCACTCACATACACACACACAGCCCAGGTGTCTAGAATGGTTTATAACGTGGAGTAGGTAGTCAATAAATGTTTGTTGAGTGAATGAATGGCAGGAGATAATGTTAGAAATGTTAAAGAATCTTATATACTTGTTAAGTTACTTGTTATAGAGTCTTATATGCTATAGTAAGACATTTGGACTTTGTGTGCTATAGCTATTAGGGAGGGACTGAAGAATTTTAAGCTGGCTGGAAGGCGAAGGGATGTGTATTTTAGCTAGGTCATTCTGGCCATAGTATAAAGACTGAAAGCAGGGAGAGAAGCTAGAGGCTGATGTAATAACCCAGGTACAAAATGTCTGAATGACCAAAAAAAGTGGTTCTAGTCAGAGGGGAGATGAGAGACCAGGTTTTGAGGATATATGGAGGAAGAGTCGATAGGACTTGATGAACTCATCTCAAATTTCAGTGGTTGTGGGACAGGGAATTTCTCTAGGACCAGACTGATGGCGGTGGCTGTTGTGTTGTGGCCTGGGCGCACTTCCTGCTGTGAATCCCCAGATTGGCTCCATACCATCTTGTGCATTGCACAGGACAGTTTACACTGACAAAGGGAGAGGGATCGGGGAGTTCTTGTCCCCATGTCCATTTTAATCAAAATCCTGCTTGACAATTTACATGAAAACTTAAAGAAGCAGAAAGTACTTAACCTGCAAGAAGAGTACCAATGGGTAAATTATCAAAACAGGAAGGTAATCTAAGTCATAAGTGGTATCTCGTGTATTTTGCTTGTCATTATTCAACATTTTTGAATGCCTACTGTGATCACTTAGGTAAGACTCAATTAAAAAAAATTCACTAGATACTGTTCTTGCTCCAGAGAGTCTACAGTCTTTGAACCTGAGGAAACACACACACAGACACACACACACACACACACACAGGATTGTCTAAAAAATCTATTTCCTGACAATATAGTAGGGGGAGGAATAGAAATGTGGTGGTGATGTTGATATAAAAAGGAAAGGCAGATTTCCGGATGTAGGTGACATCAAACTAGAAGTGTTTGAGAACAGAATTGGCAATTCGGTACTTGAGACATCCTATACCTAGATATTTCACACATATGCTCCAAGTTTTTCACAGCCTGTTTCTGACTACCTACTCCTTAATGACATTAGAGTGTTTTGATAATCTGGCTCTTGTCTCGCTTTTCTCATTTTCAGCTACTCTCCTTTACATAGACATGAGATAGTTATATTGCACTACAAGTTGTTATTCCAGATGTGTAGGTACTTTTACGTCTTAGGCCTTTGTTACGTGCTGCATCTTCTGCCTAGAATGCCTTATCTGCCTTCTGCCAAGATCCTTCTGAGCCTTTAAAACCAACCCAGGTGTCACTTACTCAGTGAAATCTTTTTATAGCTTCCACTCCCCACTCCAGTTAGGATCTGCCATCTCCTTTTCTACATTCCCCCATACTTGTTTATTCTTCTTTAGTGGTATATATAAATGTCCGTTTTCTACCGTTTAGGTGTACATAGTTGCATCTTCTACAAGATTATGAACTTCATAAGAACAGGGACTATGAGTTTTATTTTTCTTCCTTCTTTCTTTTTTACTCTCTCTCTCTCCCTTCCTTTTTGTATTCTCAGCACGTAGCATAGTGCGTTACAGATAATAAATATCCAAAAGTATTTGTTGAGTTGAAATGGATTGAAATAGAAAGGAATGGCAAAACTAGGTACAGAAACATAAGAATCAACAGCATTCAGCTTCTTTAATTTTTTTTACTCAGAACTTCACTTGAAACCTGAACTTGATTTTTCAGTTCAATTACACATACATATGTCCGCACGCACACACACATATCTTGCTTTGAGAAGGTGAAAGTGATTATAAAACAAATATAGAAATGTTTCATCAACAATAAAAAAGTTGTTCAAAATACCAAGGAAGAATTGAGTAGTCTTCTGTTTACAGAGGACTAGAAGAAAAAGAAAACCGTTTTTTTATCAAAGAAGACCTTTCTTTCCTTAAATCAAGTGAGTTTTTGTCCTTTAATCTGTGAGTTTTTACTATATTATATTTTAGCAAATGGCCACTGAACTACACTCTTAGTAACATAAATGGGTATATTACAAAGTGTATTTTATGTTTATAAATAATACTCTTTAAGAATGATCAGTGTTACTTTAGTGGGAATTTAGTTTTAGTA